TCCCACCCCCCCGCCCCTTCCCCGCCTCCTCCTGCGCACGACGCCGAGAGAGGACCCGGTGCGGCGCAGGCAGTGCTGCCCTCTGGACGCCGGGGGGGGGGGAGCACGGCGGCAGCTCCCCCTCCCCACCACCTGCTCGGCAGCCCATGCTTCTGCACTCCCCTCTGCAGACCACTCCTCTGCAGCAGCCCGCTCCTCTGCAGCACCTCTCTTGCAGCCCACCTTCTCGTCGTGTTTCTGGTGCGGTCTAGCGCTGGATCCTCGCCACCCCGCCTGGCGCCCGGCTGCCCAGGCTTCGGCAGCTTCGAGTGGCCTCCGAATCATCGCCGAAGTCATCAAGGCGAGTCGTGCCTGCCTCTTGTTCCAACTTCTCTTTCATCTTGCCTCTTTCTCGTTGTTTGTGTCCGCCACTTCCATGCATGCTTCTCCCTCTCTCTATCCTCCTCTCTTCCCACGGTGGCTGGTGTGAGGATGGCAGAAAGAGGTCGGTTCCGAAGTCAGTTTTCTTTTCGGTCCCCGATGCGGTTAGTACATGCCGGGTATAGTCCTGTGCCTTCTCAACGCTGTCGCATGCCTTACCTTCCTCGTCGTCAACATGGGACCGGCTTGTAACCCAGGTGCTACAGAAACGCATGAGCGCAGTTCCGAGTGATGTACCAACGTCTAAGCATAATTTCGAGCTGATGTGTGTGCCGAACGTACGCAGAATTCTGGGCGGCCGCATAGCATCCACCACATCGCTTGCACCAACTAGCTTACCGACCACTCGCTTACACGGCATAGCTTGCACTACATAGCTTAGCCAAAAAACAACACCACATACTAGCCGGCCGCTCTGCGGTTGATCGGGAGTTTCTGTATATAGAAGAAGGTGCGTGCGCTTGTTGGCGAGGGTGAGGATGAGGTTCCTCCTCCTCCTCCTCCTCCTCCTCCTCCTCCTCCTCCTCCTCCTCCATCCTTCTCTTGCCTCCGTCTGTCCTCCTCCACCCCGCAGCTCCATCATCTTCTCCTCCTCCTCCTCCTCCTCCTCCTCCTCCTCCTCCTCCTCCTCCTCATTCCTCCTCTGGGCACCTCCCCCGGGGCGCGGATCCACCGGATCTGTCCGGATCTGTCCGGAAACGGTGCCGGAGGCCGCTCTGGGCTCCTCTGGGCACCTCCCCCGGGGCCGGTTTTGTGAGGATGTCTCAAGCGAGGGCGCCGGTTTGGGATTCGTCCCCGGATCCAGCGGATCCGTCCGGATCCGTCCGGAAACGGTGCCGGAGGCCGCTCTGGGCTCCTGTGGGCACCTCCCCCGGGGCCGGTTTTGCGGGGATGTCTCAGGCGAGGGCGCCGGTTTGGGATTCGCCCCCGGATCCAGCGGATCCGTCCGGATCCGTCCGGAAACGGTGCCGGAAGCCGCTCTGGGCTTCTCTGGCCACCTCCCCCGGGGCCGGATTTGCGGGGATGTCTCAGGCGAGGGCGCCGGTTTGGGATTCGTCCCCGGATCCAGCGGATCCGTCCGGATCCGTCCGGAAACGGTGCCGGAGGCCGCTCTGGGCTCCTGTGGGCACCTCCCCCGGGGCCGTTTTGTGGGATGTCTCAGGCGAGGGCGCCGGTTTGGGATTCGTCACCGGATCCAGCGGATCCAGCGGATCCGCGGATCCGTCCGGAAACGGTGCCGGAGGCCGCTCTGGGCTCCTCTGGGCACCTCCCCCGGGGCCGGTTTTGTGGGGATGTCTCAGGCGAGGGCGCCGGTTTGGGATTCGTCCCCGGATCCAGCGGATCCGTCCGGATCCGTCCGGAAACGGTGCCGGAGGCCGCTCTGGGCTCCTCTGGGCACCTCCCCCGGGGCCGGTTTTGCGGGGATGTCTCAGGCGAGGGCGCCGGTTTGGGATTCGTCCCCGGATCCAGCGGATCCGTCCGGATCCGTCCGGAAACGGTGCCAGAGGCCGCTCTGGGCTCCTCTGGGCACCTCCCCCGGGGCCGGTTTTGCGGGGATGTCTCAGGCGAGGGCGCCGGTTTGGGATTCGTCCCCGGATCCAGCGGATCCGTCCGGATCCGTCCGGAAACGGTGCCGGAGGCCGCTCTGGACTCGTGCTCTTCGCGCCGGGGGTGAGGATGACGTGAGTTCCACAGAAACTCCCTCAAATTACTCGTGATTCATACCATACGCAGCTTGTACCAGGCATATTGCGCCACATACCTCAGACCACGTAGACTGCACGACATAACTTACGCATTCACCGTGCAATGCCTTACTGCTTGTGGTCACCGCTGGCACACATATGTTCTGTTACGGGCCCTCCGAGAAAATTCGGCAACGCAGGCAATAACACGAGGTTTGATACATGCTCCATGTTTTGCCTGGCGTCTTTCAGTTCAGTGCTGTGAAGCCGCAAGACATGTGTTGTACCCGCAAGCCATGAGTTGTTGCGATGAGCGATAACACATCTTCCTTTTTGGACTGGCAGGGATGCCCAGACATGTTTTGAGGCGCGTGGCCGTCAGCGTTCACGGTGCCCTCGAGAAAGATATCGATGTGTATGTTTATTCGTGTTCAATCTCCTCTGCGATGCTCGTTGAAGTTCCAGTGGGCTCCCAGATGGGTCGGTTCCCTCGGACATCCAGTGTTGGAGGCGGCTGGGTGATCTGAGCTGGTCGGGCCCTGAGAAAATCTGCCAAGAGGGGGATGAAGCCAAGCCTGACTGGACAAGAACGGGAAGCGTCGCTTTTGTCCACTAGGGTATGTGAAGCATGCTCTTTTGTTGGGCCTGCCGCGCAGATATGTGGTGGCGTGCGTGCGTTTGCGCGTGCGCGTGCGTGCGTGGAGTATGTGCATGTGTGTCCGTGTGTCCGTGCGTCGTGGTCTGTGGTACTGCTGTATTATGCCGTGCTGGTCTGCCGTGCTCCTGCGGTCTGCGTGAAGGTATGCTGCCTCTCTGTGTGTGCGTGTGGGTGCGTGTGTGTATGTGGCTGCGTGTGCGTGTGCCTGTGCCTGTGCCTGTGTGCGTGTGCCTATGTGCGTGTGCCTGTGGGTGCGGCTGTGTGAACAGATTTTCTATGTGTTCTGCAGTGCTCCTGCGTGTTCTGCCGTGCTCCTGTGTGTTCTGCCGTTCTCCTGTGTATTCTGCCATGGTCCTGCTCTGCCGTGCTCCTATGTGTTCTGCCGTGCTCCCGTGTGTTAAAGTTAAAGTTAAAGACTGGGCCTTCAAGGCAACGTGCAAACACACGGACAGGGCCAGGCGGGACCCGCGTTCCCGAGCGACGCCGAGTCCCAAAAAACACCGAGGGCGGCGGAAGCCTGCCCCCAAACGGAGCAGCAGGCGCGAGCCACAGCGATGCAACCTTTCACTCACTCATTCACGGACAGGCCGCCACGGCGCGCCATGCGGCGGCGTACCCTGCGGCCCTCCAGGGCCCCGCCCGCAGGGCCAGCCGCGGCGGCGAGCTCCTCATCGACGACCCCGAGCTCGCCGAGGCTCCCCTCTCTCGCTGCAGCAGGGCGCCGCTTGGGCAGGCTGGCGGCGGCCGCCGCGACGGCCGCATCCGAGGGGCCTCCTCCTGGGTCCGCAACCACTCGCGGCTCAGCAGCTGCCGCTGGGGCGCTGCCTGCACCGCCCGCCGTGGCCGAGGGGTCTGCAGCTGGCTCCGCTGCAGTGCCAAACCACTCCAGGTACCGCTCCTGCGCGTGCTCTGGCACTGGACCTTGCGAGCGCAGCGTAGGGATGCCCTCTCCTTTCACTCTGTGCCTGGCAGCTCGTGGCCCCTCCTGCCTCCTGCCTCCAGGATGGAGTCCTCGTAGCCACAGGCTGCGCTGGTTCCTGCCGCCCTTGTCGGTCTTGTCGCCTGGGCACCGCTCCTTGAGGCGAGGCTTAACCCCTGAGCGGCCGCCCAGCGCCATGTAGGTGCCACACTTGGAGCACGCCACGAGCTCCTGTGTGTCCTCACCTTCTCCAGCGCAGGCGTAGGACAGGGCATGTCCCAGGATGCTGAAGGCTACTGCACTGGCCGAAACGGCTGCCGAGCTGTTGCCTGTCGAGCGGGCGCTCTCCAGGCGCGGCCGCTCGGCCGACGGCCCCTCGCCCCTGGCCTCCTCCGCCGCCGGGGCCTCTCGGCGTCAGCGAAACGCGCCTGACGCTGCTCGGCAGCAGGAGGGAGCCCTTTGCCGCCCCTGGCCTCGATGCCTTGCCCGAAGATGACGGCCCACCAGATCCAGCGCCCGAGTTCCTGCACGAACCCTGCCTGCGCCTGGTGCACGCCAGCGGTCCGCTTGTCCGCTGCATGCGTCTGGGCCCTCCTCACGGCAAGGCGGCTTGCGTGCTCGTTGCCGCGCCTCTGGGCCTCCGCCAGGCGCCCGTCGAGCACTGCGTGCCTCGAATAGTCGATGTTGACCTCCTCCACTGCTGGCCTTGCGAGGGTGGCGAGCATCCAGGCCGCTACGCCTTCGCCGTCCTTGGCCGTCCGCTGCGGGCAGCGGTCGCTCCCGACTGCGCCGTGCACCCCTGCCACCAGGTTGCCGTCGCCGACGCGGTGCGCCGTGGCTCCGCCCCCGCAGCGCCAGGCGCCGAAAAGCGGCTCGAGCGTCGCGCCGTCGAGGTACAGTTTGCCGTTGAGCTTCTCATCGGAATGCCTGCGGACACAAGGCACCCCCGTGGCGTCGGTGCGGCGGCCCTGCGGTGGCCAAGGCGCAGGCAGCCAGCGGCCTCCGTCGTGCCGCTGGGCCTCGTGCACAGGGCCGCCGTGCTGGCGGTGCCACAAGGTGCCTCCGTCTGCTCCGCAGCAGCGTGCTTGCCCCTGTTCCCGTGCGTCGAGGAGCCTGGCCTGCGCCCAGTGCGGGTTGGAGATGCGGGCCCCCAGCAGGCAGGTGCCGCGGCTGAGTTTCCGCGTCTCGTGACGAAAGGATGCACTTCGAGCGCCTGGGCCAGCCTCCCATCCCAGCTCCTGAGGCCCGAGGTGCCTGAGGTTAGGTTGAGCTCGTCGCCGAGGTCCGCGCTCATGCACCGCTCGGACTTGAAGTGCCCGTCGACCCTCGCATGGGTCAGCATCTCCGCGTCGAAGGGGGAGGCGCAGTGTTTCCATGGCCCGTCAGTTCTGGCGTGCCTGGTCTTCGCCGCCCCCAGCCCCCGCTCCATCATCATAGGCGGCAGCTCGCCTGCCTGCAGCAGGCCTGTCTTCGTCTGGGCTGCGTGGCCTGCCCTGAGGGCTGCAGGGTCCAGTTTACGCTTCCTCCTGAGCTCGGCATATCGCATGCGCAGCCCTCGCTCTGCGCCCATGGGGAGCGCTCCTGCGCTGCGACTGGCCGCCCGCCGCCAACTGTGCAGCTCGCCGTCCGCGTTGCCCGTGACCGCGCGCCCTCGCACCCCGCTGGCCGCGGGCCCAGCCTTGTGGATCGGGTCCAGCCTGCGCGCTCGACGAAGCACTCCCGCAGCTCGGACTCTGCCCTCGTGCGCTCCCCACTTCGCGCTGGCATGGGTCCAAGCCGAGGTTCCTGGCCTGCAAGGTCTCGCAGAGGGTCCCGCCTTGCGACTTCCCGCACGCCCCGAGCTGGCATCCTGGGCTGGGGCTCGGAGCGAGGAAGGTCGTCTTGGCAGCGCTGAGGGACGGGTGCTGACCGCGGAGGCGGCGTGCCACTCCCAGCCCTGCTCCGCCGCACCACGCGGCCACCAGCCGCTCCGTGCCCACGGCCTGCAGCGCGATGTCGCCGTCGACGTTGCGGGCCAGACCCAGCGGCCTGCCGCCCGCTGGGGCGGCGTGGAGGGTTGCCAACCCAGGCGGCTTGGCCACGGTGAGGCTACACGCCCGCCCCGCCAAACCTGCCCCGTTGGTGCTGAACGTCTCGGTGGCCATGCCCACGAAGGGAATGAACCGCGGTCTCTGGTAGAGCACCGAGTCACCGAAGGCAGCGAAGCTGTCGAGGTCGAAGCCATTAGGTCCCAGGGCGCCACGGAGGTGCAGCGAGCATGCCAGCAGCTGCAGGTCTGACGCAGCGGGCGCTGTGACTCCACTCCAGCCCTGCCTCCAGCCTGCGACGCCGCCTGAGCTCGCCAGCGGGCCCTCCTTGCCCGTGGGCTCCGACGCGTGGGGGAAAGCCATAGAGCCCATGCGCCGCGCTGCTCCTCTGGCCTCCTCCAGGGGCGCGGAGCCAGGCGGGCCTCCTGGTGCGCTACAAGGCGCGGCGGGGCCCCGCTGCGCGAGCCCGAGGCCTCGGTCCCCTCCAGGCCCCACCTCCATGCGTTGCCGTTGACCCCGAACTCCAGCCCGCAGCGGACATCTTGAGCTGCCGTCGCAGCTCGGCCTGGCGCCGGTGGGGCCTGCGCACTCCCGAGGTCGAGGGGCCGCGCGCCGCCGCAACGGGCCGCTTCGGCGCCGCCGCCCTCCTGCTGCCAATGCACAGCGCCTCTGGCGTGGTTGCGCGCACGACAGCTGCGGGCTTTCGCCTCCGCTGCGACTCTCAGAGGCGCGGCGAGCAGGGCGAGCAGCAAGAGGGGCCAGGTCTTCAGCCTCGGCCGCCAGCTCCCGCTTGCACGCCTGGGCGACTTTCGGTCACTCTCCGTGGGCGTCACCGCGACGCTCGGCCTGGCCACGCTCCGCGGCGCACTGCGGCTGCCAGTGTCTGCAGCCTCTTGCGCGGTCCCTGTCCTCGCTGCTGATTTCGTCCATGGGGCGCGACTCCGCCCATGGCGCTCTCCTCGGGGCGACAGGGGCCTCGGCAAGCTGCGCGCGCACTGCCTCCACCTGGGGGCGAATGGCCGCCCGCGCCACCTCGAAGTTGCTGGAGCCCCATGCCTCGGGCAGCTTGTCCAGCTGCATAAGGGGCCCTGGGACCTGGCTGGCCCCTGCCCACTCGGCCGCGCGCTGGCGCAGCTGCGCCGCGGCCTCCACTCTGGCCTCCTCCTCGAGGGCGTGGAGCGCACGGCTGGCCTCCTCCACCTCCGCGTCGAGCTGCGCCAGCTCCTCCCGGGCCTTCTGCAGCTGGGCCTCGACGAGTCCACGAGCTTCTTGCTTCTGCGCCAGGCTCTGGCGCGCTGCGCGGAGGCGCCTCTCCGCCTTGCTGATGGCGTTCGCCCCCTTGTGGAGCGTCGTCGGCAGCGGCAGCGGCATGGAGGCCGCCTTCTGCTCCGCTGCGGCCCTCTGGGCCTCTGCCAGCTCGGCGCGCTTGGCCTCCAGCTGGCTGCCGACGACGTCGGCGAAGCAGCAGTCGACTTCGTCGGGCGGCTCCGCCTGCAGCGCCTCCAGCTGCTCGACCGCCACTTGCAGCCTCTCGATCGCCGTGGCGCCGCTGCCGCTGGGCGCCCCACTGGCGCCCGACGCCGAGGTCTGCGACTTGGAGGTTGCCGCGCTCGTTGCCGCGCTGCGGGCCTGCCGCTGGGCACGGCGCCCGCGCGGCTGATCCACCCGGCCGTCCTTGTCCGCCTGGGGCTTGGCCTTGGCAGCAGCATCCAGCGCCCAGGGCGGGGCCGCGTACCCACAGCCAAGGCACGTGGTGCGCCAGTCCCAGTTCCATCCACCGCAGCTGCACATCCAGTGCGTCCTGCTGCGCCTGCCTGCTGCCGCCACCCCGCGAGGGCCGCGCCATGGCCCAGGCCACGTGGGCTGACAGGATGCGCCTTCCGCGCTGCGTATGCAGGGAGCAAAACAAAGAATCGCACTGGCCCAAAGCGAGGAGCCCCTCGCGCTCGGAACGCCGCGGACGACTCGCGGTCGTCGGGTGCTCCATGGCCTTGAGCCAAAATGGTTACGGATGTGCTCCCGTGTGTTCTGCCGTGCTCCTCTGTGTTCTGTCGTGTTCCTGTGTGTTTCTGCCGTCCTCATACGTGTGTCTGCGTGATCTGCCGCGCTCCTGTGTGTTCGTCCATGCTCCTGTGTGTCCTGTTGTGCTCCTGTGTACTCTTTGTGTTCTGCCGTGCTCCTCCTGATCCTGTGTGTTCTGCCGTGCTCCTATGTGTTCTGCCGTGCTCTTGTGTGTTCTGCCGTGCTCCTGTGCGTTCTGCCGTGCTCCTATGTGTTTTGTGTGCTCTGCCGTGCACCTATGTGTTCTGTGTTCTGCCGTGCTCCTATGTGTACTGCCATGCTCCTGTGTTTTCTGCCGCGCTCCTGCTGGTTCTGCTGTGCTCCTATGTGCTTTGTGTGTTCTGCCGTTCGCTCCTGTGTGTTCTGCCATGCTCTTGCGTGGTCTGTCGCGCTCCTGCTTGTTCTGCCGTGCTCTGCCGTGTTCTTCCTGCTCCTGTGTTCTGCCGTGCTCCTGTGTGTTCGGCCGTGCGTGTGCTTGTGGGTGCGGCTGTGTGAACAGATGTTCTACGTGTTCTGCCGTGCTCCTGCGTGTTAAAGTTGAAGTTAAAGACGGGGCCTTCAAGGCAGAGTGGTGGGGCCAAAAGGCCAGGACACGCACACACGAGAGGAGCCGCCTGGGACCGCCTCGCGCGGGGCCCCCGCAAGGCCTCCCACCCGACAGGGGCCACCTTGGGCCGCCTCTCGGCACCGAGCGGGGCCGCCTTGGGCCACCGCTCACCGCGAACTCGACTGCGACAGAACACGGGAGTCCCAGACCACAGGCAGACACGCAGACGGGGCCAGGCGGGGCCGCGCCCCGAAGGAAGCCGAGCCCAGGCGGGCACCGAGGGCGGCGGAAGCCTGCTCGCACGGGGAGCAGCGGGCGCGGGCCACAACGAATGCACCATTTCACTCACTCACGGCGGAAGGCCGCGGCGTGCCATGCGGCGGCAGGCCCTTCTTCCGCGACACCGAAGGTCCCGCCGAGGCCAGCACTCGCCGCGGCCGGGCGCCACGGAGGCTGGCTGGCGGCGACCGCCTCCTCGACGGGCGCCGCGGTCGCCGCAGGGGCGCTGCCTGCGGTGCTCGCCGCAGCCGAGGGGTCGACAGCTGGGCTCCGCCGCGATGCAAGCCACTCCAGGTACCACTCTTGCGCGGGATCCTGCGTGTTCTGCCGTGCTCCTGTGTGTTCCGCCGTCAGTTCTGCTGTGCACCTATGTGTTCTGTCGTGCTTCTATGTGTATTGCCGTGCTCCTGTGTGTTTTGCCGCGCTCCTGCTTGTTCTGCCTTGCTCCTGGGTGTTTTGTGTGCTCTGCCGTGCTCCTGTGTGTTCTGCCATGCTCCTGCGTGGTCTGCCGCGCTCCTGCTTGTTATGCCGTGCTCTGCCGTGCTTCTCTTGCTCCTCTGTGTTCTGCCATGCTCCTGTGTGTTCTGCCGTGCTCCTGTGTGTTCTGCCGTGTTCCTCTGTGTTCTGTGTGTTCTGTTGTGCACCTGCTTGCTGTGCCGTGCTCCTGTGTGTTCTGCCGTGTTCCTATGTATTTTATGTGTTCTGCCGTGCTCCTCGTGCTCCTGTGTGTTCTGCCGTGCTCCTGTGTGTTCTGCTGTGCTCCTGTTTGTTCTGCCGTGCTCCCTTGTGTGCTTTGGGCCTTGCCGTGCTCCTGTGCGTTCTGCCGTGCTCCTGTGTGTTCTGCCGAGCCCTCGCGCGTTCTGCCGTGCTCCTGCGTGTTGGGCTGCCGTGGTCCTGCCCATGTTCTGAAGACGTCGCAGGCGAAAAGCTCAGTTTTAACACGCATGGTCTTAACTCAGCCTTTTTCAGTATGTCATTTGTTCGAGCATTTCTCAGGCGATATCCCCATCTCCATGCGTTTGTTAAGTTCGCGGCCTTCATTTTCTAGTGGCTGTCGCAGGCGAAATGCTTGTTTTTGTGAACGTCGGTGCTGCGAACAACTCAATTTGGTGAGGATGTCTCGAGCGAGATGCTAAATGTGAGGCACCTCGAGGGCGCTCTCGGGATCATATTGGGCCTCGCTTGGGGCTCGTTTCGGGCTGCCTCGATGTCATCAAAAACATGACAATGCGATGTCACACACATTTTTTGGAGGATGTCACTACCGAAATCGCCATTTTTCAAAGAGCGATCCCATGACGATGTTAGAACAGCAGTTTCAAACCGATCCTGTTGTATTTCTTCATGTTTTGAGGGTGTCCCTAGCGAAATCGTCATTTTCGGCAGTCATCAGGGCGCTCTTGGAGCCATATTGAGGTCCTTTTTGGGTTCTCATTTCTTCCTCTGAAAGCACTTCAAGAACGATGTCAAGACGATGTTGAGAACATTTCAGTTGTTTGAGGATCTCCCCAGCGAAATGCACAGTTTCTGCCGTGTTTTGTTTTCTGGTCCGCCGTGCTGCCGGGCATTTTCAGAGGATGTCCCTCGCGAAAACGCAGCTTTCAATATGCGTGGCAGTAAAACACCTCCGTCGACATTTCGTTTTGTGAGGATGTCTCAGGCGAAACGCAAGTGTTTACAGATGCATGAAATTGTCGGCGATCAGCTTATCGAGGGTGTCTGGAGCGAAGCGCTTGGCCTGTTTTTGTTGAGCGCGATGCCGCGGATATGTCCTTCTTGTGAGCATGCCTCAGGCGAACTCGCCATTCTAGGGGATCCGCTAACCCTCCAGCCCGTGCACTGCGCCACCCTCTGTTAGTGAGAAATGACCAGATATGATGCAGATTCAGCCACAACGTCCAGCTCGCTTCTCGTACCTCGAAGACGCTTTTCGTCATCCGCTAACGACTAGCCAGATGCGGCCCGCCACCCTTTATTAGTGAGATATTATTTGAGATAATGCAGATTCAGCCACAACGTCCAGCTCGCTTTCGTACCTCGAAGACGCTTCCCGTCATCCGCTCGCAATCTGTCTACTGACCTCTCCTGGGGTTCATGTGGTGTGGCTTGTCACCCTGGATCCCTTTTGACGGTCCTGGGGCCGGAAAATTGCCCACGGGGGCGGAAAAATTGAACAATTTCCCGAACCCACAACTTCGAACCCCGTTCGCTGTTCCCCCTTGCTGCTCGCCGGAACCAATGCTGGACCACCTCTGACACCCAGCTCGCTCCAAATCCAGCGCGTTGCTTGCCGCACCGAGCACGCAGCGAAGCCTGCTTCACGCAGCAGCACGCGGCCTGGCCGCCTGGCGTTTTCCTCGATACACGGCCGCCCCTTTGAAAACCAGCTGGTTTCGGCCCCGCCGCTCATTGTTGTCTGACACTGGCGTTGCACTCCAGTCTGCTTAAGCAGGCCGCGCCGCAAGGCTTAAGGAGCTGGCGCTGCAGGTGCAGCTCATCGCTCAGCTCATCCTTCCTCGTCCTCTTTGCCATCTCTCATCCTCCCCTTCCTCCCCTTCCTTCTCTCCTCCCTCCTGCCCATTTGGTTTTAAGTGTGGCGTGGCGCCGGGGGGAAGCTCAGGGGGTCACAGAACAAGGTAACTTGGTACGGCGTATGCAGTATGTATAGATCTGTACGATTTGACGCGCGGGGTACGCTGGACGTTCGGTTTGTCAGTGGCTGAGGGGGCCCGAGCGGGCCTTATTGAAGACAGTGAAATGCCAAATTTATGTGTATATATGGTTTAGGGATGTTGCGAGGGCGCAGGACCGCAGCCCTCTTGGTTAAAACAATCGCGGCTCCGTGGGGGGTGCCGCGCATGGTAGCGGAGCCCGTGGCCTGAGGATCCACGGGTTCTGCGTCGGAGGTGCGGTTCCAGCAGCCCAACGGGAAACACCGCGGGCTGCGGAGGGCAGCCTAGCAGCCCAGCAGGGGCCTCCGCGGGCTGCGGAGGGCAACCGCTCAGCCTAGCGGCCCAGCGGGGCGGACCGCGGGCCGCGGAGGGCGTCCCAACGCCCCGCGGGGAACACCGTGGAGCAGCGGAGGGCAGCCCCAGACCCGTTGCAGGCCGAGGCGGAGCTTCGGCGGGCGCTACGGCGACGGGGCGCAAGAAGCAAAACAATCAGCGATGGCGGCGGCGGTCGGAGGACGCCGCCTGGCGACGGCAGCGGCGCTGAGACGTCTGCAGGCTGCTGGAGTCGGCGCTGAGCCTCGTCGAGAAGATCGTCGGGCGCGGGCTCGACCTGCCAACGTTCGCGCACCGCGTTTTCGGGGGCGTCGTCTTACAAGGAGCTGGGTCACGCTTGGCCGCTCGACGTCGCGGACGAGGACTGTCATTCCTTCTTGCCCCGCGAGAGCGAAGCCTACGCGGCCTTTGCAGCGTGGAGGTTCAGAGACGGAGGAGGAGATGCGAGCGGCGGCAGCGCAGCAGGCAGCGGGCGACCCCGCAGCCGCGGCCGCAGCTGCAACAGGAGCCTCGCCGCAGCCGCCGCGGACGGCCCAGCGGGCGATGGACGCGCCGCGGACGGCGACGGCTCGAGCGGAAACTGCCGAGAAGCGAGCCCAGGAGCTGGAGTCGCGAGCAGAGACAACAGCCAGGCAGCATAATGCTCAGCTTCAGCAGCTTCAACAGGCGCTCCAGCAGCTGACCGTCGCGGGGGGCACCGCGGTGGCAAACCCGGCGCCGGCGAGGAGCGAGGATCGTCGGAAGTGGGGCATCATCGACGCGGAGCTGCTGGCGAAGCCAGCCCAGTTCAAGGGCCACGAGGCAGCGTGGCCCGTGTGGTCGTTCAAGCTGCCGGCGTACATCGCGACGCTAGACGACGAGCTGTGCCAAGATATGATCGCGGTCGGGGAGAAAGCCGA